GGCCCCGGGGGCCGGCCGGGCCTGCCCGCACAGCCAGGCTGGGCTGGTAGGGCCCTCTGGGGCAGGGGGCGTGCTGGGCAGGAGCAGCTTCCTTCTTCTGCTTTAGTTTTTCCTATTAACCGTGCCTCTGGGTTTGGGGTTTTTTTGCCTTTTAACTAGGTGTCGGTGCCCGAGCCATTGCCACACATATTCCCAAGGTAAGACTTAGTTTGTGTCTCCAAAATAATTCTGGAGGAGACCGTGGCCCTGTAGAGCCCTACGTGTTGGTGTAACCTGGGTGCAGGTAACAGCTAGGAAGGAGACGCGTTTGAAGGGGGAGGTAAGCTGTCTCTCGTTTTGCAGCCATACGATGACAGTGGTTATCGGCAGAGAGATTCACCGTTGCCACGTAAGCTGCAGCTGATGCATCCTGTCCCTCCCTCCCCTTACCGCGAGGCACATTGATCGGAGTTTAGCTCCGGCTGCTACTACTGCTGTCATCACCTGAGCTATCTCAGCTTTAGATCTGCTCTTGAGGGAAAAAATAAGCATCTGTTACATTGGAAAAGAAACAGAAAGCGGTGTGGATAAAAAGGAGCTATATACAAAGGTCTGCTTTGGCTTGGGGAATGTAATCTCCATAGGCTTTTTATCAAGTCAGTCCTGAAAACACAGCTTACTTAGGCCAGGGTTGTGGAGTAACAGCAGGAGAGCTGCGCCGAGTGACCAAGTCACCCTGGGAGCAATTTCTGTTTGCATTGACTGTAGGGAGGCTATGGGAATAGCTATCTCCCTGCTGGTCAGTCTCCAGATCCAATAAAAACCAGTATTTTGGGCCATAATTTCAGGAATGTGTAATTCTGAGTGGCTTGGTTTCACGTGCCTTACTTAAGATGCTTTTAAAAGAATTACCATTACCATTTTACGTGTGGAAAAGCTAGATCTATGTTCAGATACTGATTCTGCCCAAGACCATCATACAGCAAGACAATAGCGCAGCTGAGAAATAGAATCTCATTCGTCTGCTTGTCTGCTTGATGACCTGCTCGGTCAATTCAAACTAAGCCCTCACTAAATATGTGTCTTGGTTATGAACCCTCTCTGTAAGTGTTAGGCAGCAATTGAGTCTATTACATAGCAAGATGATACCAGTTCAGTAAGTATCGAAATAGTGGGAATTGATTTAACAGCAACTGTAACAACAACAAAAAAATGTTCATTTTGTTTCTTGGAGGTGTTTGAGAAAGTAGTGCCATTTTTGAACTCGGTGAAATTCTTCCTGAAAGTTAAGTTTGGCTCAAGAATATAACGGCAGGGCATCTATTATAGTATCAGAAAGCAAGAGAGTAAATGGCTTGGACATGTTCTTAGCCTGTCAAATTAATGACTGAGAGTACAGCAGACTCAAACTCCAGGAGAGGTCAAACACATACAGCCTGGCAAGAGATGGCAATGAAAGAGTTGATAGCAGCTGGCCTGGGCTTGAATAGAACGTGCATAAAGGATTTTAATACATCTATGTGTTACTGTTGTGGGTCAGTGCTTCAGTGCACCCCAGAGTGTCTGCAAGACTTATTATCATGGATTCACTCATTGGATCTGAATCCAAATCGCATATTTTCAATTAATACAGCAGCCAGAAGGCATGACTTCAGCGGGAAGAGCAGAATGCCTCATCTGATCTTTTCTTGGAGAAGAATGGGCTGTTTCAGTTGATGCAGTTTGTTTCACTTTGTGGCAAAATCAGGGTATGCAAGAAATGGAGGGTTTTGTGGAAATTCCTGCAAGAATGACATGGTGGAGAGAAGATGTGACTGAAATACTGTCCTTATAAATACCTTCTCTCTTCTGCTAAATAAATTTGATAGTGACACACCAATTCTTATTAAAACTCTTGTTTATTATTAGCAATGCATGCAGTTTCTTAATTTTCAAGTAAGCAATTCAGTTTTACCTGCAAGTTCAGGACTAGGCAGAAGTAAAAAGTAGCGTAAATGCCTGTCAGTATTACTCTCACACGTACAAAAGATATTTTCTGTCCCGGTGCATTAGGAGGATGTCTCATGGATTTGTCTTAAAAGTTGTTCTGAAGGTTGTCATGCAGCCCCTACACCTCTCGACCTGTATGTAGCAGCCTGTGTTCTCTGCAGATACTCAGTTCTACCTGTTATGTGCTGTTCTGGTCTTTGCAAATGAATTCTTTGCAAACTTCCTGCTAACTTACTCAGTTTTTACACGAAGGAATTAATTCTTGAAAGAAGGAAAAAACCACTCTTGTTCTGCTGAATAATGTGGATCAAATTAAGTACTTGGATCATTTAATGTCGCGAACGACAAGGGACTAAATGGGTCACTGTTACCCAGACAAGCCAAGATGACCTGTGCAAATATATTAGTGATTTTAAAAGCAAAGGAATCTGTCAACTCTAGTACTGAGATACAGATTGAAGTCACTTTTTGTTCCCTAATTTTACTGTTTCATTTCCATTCCAGTCCCTGAACGGCCTACCCTGGGAAATACAGACTATGCATTTGAGGTAGATTTAATAATAAAATACATTTGTTTTAAAAGTAGTATTTTGTATACTTCCACATATGGCATTTGACAAATATTTACCTTAGTAAATATTTATATTTTTGACTGCTTGGGACTAGATGCCATTTCTCCATTTTTCCAGAAAAAATATGTTCTTTTATTTTTGTAGATGGCCATTTCGAACATCCGCTATGGAGAAGGAGTTACTAAAGAGATCGGCATGGTAAGCTTCCGTAGTGTAAGTCCATCACTGGTGAAAAGTTGTTTTCTGAAGGGCGGCTGGTGCTATCAACCCACTTTATAAGGGAAAGCTTATATATGGTGTGTCTGAATCTCCACTGCTTTGCAGTATGTGTGGTCATATAAATGAGCGTAAAGAGGTTGGAAAATACTGTTGAGTAAAGAATGGAAGCACGTTACATCGATACTGCTGTGGTATATGCGAGTATGTGAAATGCGGCTTAGTAGATAATAAGATCATTGATGATTTGCCAGGATTATGCAACAATATTTTTCTCTGACAGGGAATTTAATTCAAAAAGTTCTGAATCCTGGTGACCCACCAGGATTTTCTCAAGATCGCTTTTGTCTCTTCCAGTGTTCATTAAAATGAATCAGAGACTTTCCATTAAATTAGGTGGATATTCGTTCAGCTCTGAGTTTGCACTGTGAAAGCCTAGAATGTTTGTTTCAGCAGTGTGAGATGATTCACCTGAGTACATTGTTCCAGTTTGCCTTTGTCATTGGTTTTTTTCATTTATCATCCTTTCCCTCTCTTCTTCGCATTTATGGCATTAACAGTTTTCTTCTTTATTTTAAAATTTGTAAATTAATAGGTAGTAATTGCAGTTAAACAGAATTTCTGTCTTTAAACAGCATTAGGATTATTTAGAATTGCATGTTTTGTATAGCTATTATAACAATTAATTTAGCAAAGGTTAGGATGTGGTATTATTTTCCTTCTTGTTGCCATCTGACTTTGATTTTTCATCAATAAATTAATATTCAATATTAAATTTTCAAGATTTTAATGTCGTGCTCTGGTAAGCAGTTAGGGGAGACCTAATCTGTGAAAAAGACTTTATGTCACAGGAATTGGGTGGGGAAAAAAATATTATGAAAAAATATTTTACATTTTACTGTAGTCTTAAGTGGTTCCACGTCTTTTCACTTGTTCAATATCTTTATCATTAGTTTTCTTCTGTCATAAGACTTCAACTATAGAAATTTGGCAGCTTTATGCTGTTTTTTGCATCCTATATGTATGTGGTTAATCCTCTTTTTCTTTAGCTGATACTGTTGCAAAAATTTCACAACAACCAGCTATTTTTAGGTCAAGGTTTTTATTATTATTAAATGGTTCAGTTGTTTTGGATTAGTATTTAAATAGTGCAGTGTATGATTTTATACCAGTTGTTTGTTTTTAAATTTCATTGTTATTGTAGGACCTGCAGAACCTTGGTGCTAGAAGAGTTTGTTTGATGACAGACAAAAACCTTTCCCAACTCCCTCCTGTAAATGCCGTACTGAATTCCTTGGCAAAATGTGGTATAAACTTTCAGATGTATGATAACGTCCGGGTGGAGCCAACAGACCAAAGGTACTACTTCTGACAGTGCACTTCCCAAAGTAGTGCCTAGGCTCTCACAGCATGCAGTACAGCTGTTTAAACACCTCCTCATGGCCTGTACACTGGTCTTAATAGTTAGTTTCTCTATGTGCTGTTTTTCCTCCTGACTAATTGGAAAGCTTTTCTTGTTTTCCAAGTTTCCTGGATGCCATTACATTTGCTAAAAAGGGAGAGTTTGATGCCTATGTTGCTGTTGGAGGTGGGTCTGTAATAGACACCTGTAAAGCTGCCAACTTGTATGCGTCTAGCCCTACATCAGACTTCTTGGATTATGTCAATGCTCCTATTGGGAAAGGGAAGCCTGTCACTGTGCCCCTCAAACCACTTATTGCAGGTAAAGCAGGAGGGGGACGGGCATGGAGGGTGAGGGTGAGGGCTAGGGCTAGGAGAAGGGGAGTCATTCTACACTCTGTATCATATTTCTACAGAAATCAGTTTACCGTGACTGTTTCACTTTCCTTTGGGCTTACCTCTGCTGTAGTTGTATTCAGCAGAAATTTTGCTATTTGCTTCAGTGGAAGTAAAATCACAGTTTTTGTCTTTGGTTTGTCTTGTTTAGTTGAGTTCAACTCCTTTTCCTGAGAAAAGAGATCAGAGTGGCAGTTTCTCTTTGACGTGCTCGCTTCAGATCAGGGATACCTCTGAGATTCTTGGTGGCATTACTATTGTGTGTCTTATTTATCTATTTTGCAATATTATGTATTGCTTACTATTTGTTGTTATTCCCATTCTTCCTTTTAAGTTCCTACGACAGCTGGAACTGGAAGTGAAACCACTGGTGTTGCCATTTTTGACTTCAAAGAACTAAAAGTAAAAACCGGTGAGATTTTTTTTCTGTCTGCTGTTCAAGACAATTGCTTTTCCAACGTCTTCATTGTTTCCCTGCCTTGAAAGAAAGGGATACCGCATGTCATTTGTTTGATTCTGCTGCCACAGGCAAATTTGAAGAGCTTAAAGGTTTCCTTCTTGAATTAAATTTATAGCATATTAACATAATGAAATACCTATGTTATACAGTGGATTATAGTTTGAAGGCAAAACAGGAAAATAAAATCTTTCATGTTCTCAAATGGCAGAAAATGTTAATTGCAAAGGAAATTTCTACTTACATTCAGGGTCAACCAACTGTTCTTGATTTCCTCTGTATTTTTCTTTCTGCTTTTAAGACTTCTGTTTCTTTGTTGTGTAATTGCAACCAAATGTTCTTTTTCCTGACTTTAGAAACCTCAGGCCTGAGATGCTCTGCAAGCGAGGGGCACTGTCTTCCTTTGGCCTTTCCATCCCTGGCAAAAAAAGATTAAGGCTAAAATGTCCTCTGAAGCTTCATAGCTGTTTTGAGGGTTTAGTTCTAAACGTGTGGATTTTATATGCCACACAGCACTTGGGACCCAAATGGGTGTACTAAGGAGCTCTGACTGTAGCTCAGAGTTTTCTAGTCTATATGTAGTCAATCAGTCTGTGTGTCTCTGTCTGTCTGTCTCTCTCTCAAAGCTACATCTGTGCCCCTTTAACCAACATATGAAGGCATGGTTATTACTGATGCTGAAGACAGCAATTAGGAATAGCAATTGAGTAGACACAAACCAGTCTTGCCCTCTAATTGTTCACAGTAGATACAAATCTAAAAATAATGTTGCAGATGCTGTTCAGCACAGGCATTTTGAAAGTATAGGCTGCTCAGGGAGGGTTACAAAGAGAGATAACATTGGTGTACTTCACTTCAGGTAACAGTCTCAAATCATATAACTCTCTTACAGGGACTTCATCATTAGTAAGACTTAGATTCATAGATACTTCTTACTTTCCCTTCTCTGTCTTTGCTTTTATCTTCATAGTTTCAAATAATTTCCCCTCATTATTGTTACATTTTGAACCTTAAGCTTGTCTTGTCCTATTTTGTTGCAAAAAATCCTAAACTCATTTTCCTCACATATTGCAGGTATTGCTTCAAGAGCCATTAAGCCAACATTAGGCATTGTTGATCCTTTACACACACTGTCTATGCCTGAGCGAATAGTGGCCAACAGTGGCTTTGATGTGCTTTGGTGAGTTTTCTGTGTAGGCTGCTACTTGAGTTTATTATGATTTTGTATTTTTACTATGATTGTAGAAAAAATACATTTTAGGAGCAGAAGAGGATGATCTTTTTTCTCCCTTTTCTGTTCTTGTTAAGGTGGTCTCCGTTATACTTTCCTCTTACTTAATTTCACTACCTCTCTCAGAATGTTTGGAAACAAATCACTCATTTGCAGAAATTTTAATGTTTTTGCAGTGCACTGGAGAAACTGTGTGCTTCCAGGATGGTTGTCAGGGGCAAGAGTCCAGGTGTCCCCTTTTTAAGAGATCATGTAGATGATTAATCACAGCTGTGACAGCATTAAGCATGTCTCACAGACATGGCAGGGAATAGAGAACAAGGATTTTTCTAATAAAAACCATGATGTGTCCACAAAAATTTGTGAAAGCTTGTGGGATGCTGGCAGGTCTTAGCCCAATTATGACCATCTTCAGAACCTCTCTCATAATGTGCTTTTCATTTGGCACAAAATTTTCATCATCTTAAACCTACAGCTTTTAACTGCACAAAATGCATAGAAGTTTCTATTTGGAGGGCCAGAGCTTACTTTGCTTTTGCGTGTTGTGTATATTAAAGTAATAGATGTATAATGAAACTGTGTGATTTCTCAAGCTTGGTGAAGGATCCTGAACTACAGTGTCTGTAATGGAACTGAGGCATTTATTCATAAATGAGAATCGTTTATCTGTAGTTTTGTACATCTGAACATAGGCACGCAGGCAGTGCCCCTTCTCTATGTAGTCAGATTCATGAGTGTCTGGGAGATGAGACTGTTGGCCGTTCCACTTAAAGGTCATACTCCTAATTTTTTAATGGTCAATACTTCTAAAAGAAAGGTAGCTTACAATGCTCCCAGTGCTAAAGCCTCCTACAGTTCCTGTCCTACAAAAAGGAAACGCACCCACTGCAGGTGCACAGTGCTCTTCAGTCAAAAGGATTACACCCCAAGATGCTAGTTCATCCAACCTAACTTTGTGGTGTGAGCTAATTGTGACTGTGTTTGGGTTGCCTTCTGTGTGTCTGTTGGAGAGCGAAGCGCTCTGGAGGTGCCCCCCCAGCATTCTTCCAGTTATCTCTAAGATTGTATTTCCATTTTTGGCAACTGTTAAACACCAGAAATGAGTAAGAACCACCTTCATTCAGTGGGCAGCAGGGCAGTAAAATGGAGCTTTCCCACTTAAATAATTCATTTTTTTAGCAGTCCCTGCCCTTCAAATCCAATTGACCGACCAGCTTACCAAGGCAGCAACCCCATCAGTGATGTCTGGGCTCTTCATGCTCTGCGCATTGTGGCTAAATATTTGAAAAGGTAACGCGTTTAAGAGCCACCCCCCTCACACTGTGTTCAGTCTTCAGTGCACAAAAAGGGATGCTTAGAAGAACTTGAATTTGGGGCTAAAATAAGGCAAACTATTCCATTAAACCTTCATTTTCTACCCTGGATTTCTCTTAAATAAAGCAAAAAGGTTTTCAAATTAAATTGTAAGTAAAATTAGGGTTACTAGGTTGTCTTGAGGAGGTAGCTTTTTAACGCCTCCGTAAATCTATTTTATAAGTCCTCAGTTAAAGGTATTTCAGTTAATATGGAAGCAGCATTCACATAATTTTTCAAGAATCCTCTGTCTATCATAGTATAACGGGAATATGTAACAAACTGAATGAAATACTGCTGGTGTAATATCTGTGACCTTCAGTGTAAATTAAGATTCTTATACATCCGTCAAGAAGGTAACCACATGTACTTATGAATGTGCAAAATTACTCATTTACTGAAAACTAGTTCATACTTAGAAGACTTTCAGTTTAGATTAAGTTTTGACTTAACTGGGAGTTGGTTTTGATCCCTACCAATAAAGTTGTAGCCTCTATACAGCTTTTGTGTACCATGTGCACTTCTATTAAAGATCAGTGGGGTTTTTTATAAAAGAAATTTTTCAGTACCTAGCTAGTCAAAGTAGTTGTTTATTGTTCCTGTAGAATCTATTAATGAGGCTTTCTCTCCGTGGTGTCAAACTACACAAGCAGTCTGATGCATAGGAAGGCAAGGAACCCTGTCCTCCTCCCGCACAGGTGGTGGGGACCAGAACACCACCTAATGAGATGGTGAGAAAGCTGGAGTGATCATTATAGCCATACATAGGATTGCCAAAGCTCCTAAGTACAATTGCTTAAACCACAACTGAGGTGAATACGGCTAAATTCACTCCATTTCCTCAGTTTTTAGAAAAGTGAAAGGAAACTTGCCCTTCACTGAACCAGTTCGGTCTACTTACTGATCCAGAAACAGGATTGTTCTCTGAAGTTTGAATTGATCCTATTTCCAGCATTTTTATCTCAGCTTATCTTAGAGGTTTCTGTCCATAAAGAAGCTTTCTCTCCCTTCTCCATCCTGAATTACCAATCTGTTTGTGAATTCACTGGTACCATTGTCTCCATTGGTGCACAGAGCCATCAGGAACCCTGAAGACCGTGAAGCAAGAGCCAACATGCACCTAGCAAGTGCTTTTGCTGGTATTGGCTTTGGCAATGCTGGTGTTCATCTCTGGTGAGTACAGAAAAATGCTAACCCCATCCGAGGTCAGCCTCTAGCTAGTATTTGTTTCAGAATGTGAAAGACATTGCTGCCTTTGTTGCTGAATATGTAATAAGACATTGTAGCGTGGCCTGTGATGCAGGAGAAGCTGTGTTGTGAGAAATTGATGGGCTCCTGGCATTTATGTGTATGAGGATTGTGTATTCTGGCTTGTGATACTCAAATCCGATCGTGAAAATTACAAAACATGGCCTTCTTTACCTTCTGTGATAGTAAAAACCATAGTTAGAAAAAAAAAAAGTCAACGGCATTTAAAATGTTGAATTTCATGCCAGCTGTTCTGCAGTGAGACAGCGATGAGGTAATCTTGTGCCATTCCTGAGCTGATGCAATTGTCTGTAAGTTTGTCTGTGCGGTAGGCATTCAGCAGGCTGAAATGAGCTGTGATTAATATTGCAAGGCAATGTAGTTTCATATGGGTGAAAATCTCAGAGAAGTAAAGCCTAAGCCTGAATTGCGTGGGGAAGTTATTAGCATTCATACTCTTCAGAGACCTTCCTTTCATTCCTTTTGTTTGAACAGATCCAGTCTTTAATTATATTTTTAAATTAATGTTTATTTTTCTCAAGCAGTGTGATCAGTTAGGGATGCAGATTGTGCTATTTTTGGCATATCTGTATTACTGTAGTAACTGAACATCTTTCAGTCCAGTCAGTGGAGTAATATAACTTCACACTCACAAAATAAGGAGGTACTGTTTTTCACAGCTATGTCCCTAAGGTGCAGAGGGGTGAGGGTTGTCTGTACCTAATATCCATACCATATCTATACCTAAATACCTTTTAAGTACCTGTACCTAGAGACTTGCATACAGAAGACTGACTGCACAAGGGACTGAACACAAATTTTCCAAATAGAAGGAGAGCTGCCCTAACCACTTTCTCTCTACTCTCTGTTCCAGCCATGGAATGTCTTACCCTATTTCTGGTTTGGTGAAAACTTATAAACCAAAGGATTATAATGTGGATCACTCTTTAGTGGTAAAACTTGGTTTATCTTTGTTTTCATATTATACATTTCAATTCTCTGTTATCTCACATTAATGAGCATTAAAGCACATTGAAGTTGAAAGTACATGTCTTGTTTATGTGATTTTATTCTTTTTTCTTCTTCTTCTTTTCATATTTCTTCCCCAGCCACATGGCCTTTCTGTGGTGCTGACATCACCAGCAGTGTTTGCTTTCACAGCACAGATACGTCCTGAGCGGCACTTGGAAGCTGCAGAGATACTAGGTAGGAATCTCTGTGCATAGAGCTTACTCAGACAAATGGAATGCTTTCCAAAAGGTCTTTCTGGGAGGGAAAAAAAAATGTGTGCAAGCAATTGTAGTTGGTTGTTACAGAGGTTTTAAGTTTAAAAAACAAGATTCTGGAGTCTGAATGAGTTACACATAATGCAAACTTAGGTAGAATAATGCTAAATTTTTGATATTGGATGGTGTAGTTAGAGAAGCAAGCTGCAGAAATCTGCTTCTTGGCTAGAAAAGTGGACAGCTGAAATTGACTGTAGATCTGTTACAAATCGGGAAACAGTAGCGGTGATTGGCATCTCTCTTGGTGCTTCATGGAGAGTAGTTACTTTAGAGTAGATACCATAAAACAAACCAGTACTCACGTGCATCTGTTACCTAAAAGGAAGCATTTTGCCTAACACATTTCCTGCTGTGGCAATGAATTAGGACAGTGATGCTCTGAGTCACTCCTGCTCTTTTTCCGTGGCACACAACTGTGGGTTTCGGTCTTTCTAATGTAGGCCCAAGCTTGTTTGTAGGTGTTGGGATTTCTCAGTGGCCAATGTCAAGGGAAAGTACGGAGTAGCTATACTGTGGGCACATTTCTGATGGCTCGGAAGTGGGTTAATGAACAAAGTGGCCTGCTCTGCTTCTTAGCAGAATAAAAGTAAATGCTGCAAGCTGACAGCTCATTTAAAGATTATCTTCTCACACAGTGCTTTGTTATGTGCATAACCCATCACCAGAAGGTGTCCTAAAGAAAGGATACCTCTTCCTTGCACCCCCAGCATGGCTGTGTGTGATAAACTACCTTTCAGTGACGTAATCTCGGAGCTGTTAGCAATCTAGCTGTGACAGCATGGCTCTGTGGTGGGCTAATTTATTTGTATCTAAGGTCAGGTTTTTTGCCTGCACTAGACTGCTTTGTAGCTAAACTGCTGCTGGTACCCATGCTCGCTAATGAGCAATCACAGTAACATGCACAGCAGTGCAGAGAGTAGAGAGAAAGTGGTTAGGGCAACTCTCCTGGTATTTGGAAAATTTGTGTTCAGTCCCTTGTATGGTCAGCCTTCTGCATGCAAGGCTCAGCATTCCGGTCACATGTATGATTTCCTTGTATAAGTAATCTGAAAGCACTGTGGGTTTCAAGGAAGAGTGGGACTTTTATATAGACAATGAAAATATCGCAGTATTTTAAAGAGGATGTAAAACAACATGATCAGAAAAAATACATTGGGGGAAAATTCCGTTTATTTTATAAATGTTGGCTATGAGGTTTGTTCAGCCTTCCTCCGAAGTATGCAGTCCTGCCTATTGTCAAAACCAGAATGCAAACCTAGTTGTAATCATATACGAAGCTACAAGATGTCTATGTTCATGTAGTAATAACATACAAGTCAACGTAGACTAAGAACATATTTCTGGATAACTGGCCAGCACAGCATGTCAGAGAATTTGACTGTGGCTCCTTGATTTTAATCCTTTAGGTTTTGTGGTATCAACTGCTGCCGTAAATTCTGTCTGTAAAAGCTCTATGTCGTGGTTTAATCCCAGTTGGCAACTGAGCACCACACAGCCACTCGCTTACTCCCCACCCCAGGAGGATGGGGGAGAGAATTGGAAGAATAAAAGTGAAAAAAAAAAAACCCCGCATGGGTTGAGATAAGAACAGTTTAATAATTAAAATAAAATAGTAATAATAATAATAATGATAAAAGAATATACAAAATAAGTGATGCACAATGCAACCACTCACCCACCTGCCAACCAATGTCCATCCAGTCCCTGAGCAGCGATTGCTGCCTCCCCCACCACCAACTCCCCCCTGCTTGCATACTGAGCATGACGTCATATGGTATGGAATGTCCCTTTGGGCCAGTTGGGGTCAGCTGTTCTGGCTGTCCCCCTCCCAGCTTCTTCTGCACCTGGCAGTGTATGGGAAGCTGAAAAGTCCTTGACTTCATATAAAAAACACTTAGCAACAACTAAAACATCAGTGTGTTATCAACATTATTCTCATGCTAAATCTAAAACACAGCACTGTGCCAGCTACTAGGAAGAAAATTAACTCTATCCCAGCTGAAACCAGGACACTGTTAATTTTCTCAATGGAAATTTAAACTATATTATTGTCTGCCTTGCTGTAAAGGGACTCTGCCAAAAACACGTCATGTGGAATTGAATTTGTCAATTCCCACCTGGGGTGTTTACTTCTGATTCCAGTCCAGAGTCCAACTGACTACAGTAGCTGATTCAAATCTGTCATGTTGCCAAATGCAGTGACTAAGAAGGTATTTTATGACATGGAGCAGATTACTAAATAGTTATGTTGTGTGTATGTACAGCTGTGAATTTGGGTACAGCCAGAAAAAGCTTAATACCTCCCTGGGTGGATTCTTAAACAGTTGAAATAGGCGTGCATGTGGCCAGAAATTTTCTAAGCACAATCAAAGGCTGATATATGCTTTAGGTTGAGCAAAAAGTACTAGAACTATAGCAGTATTTTAAAACTGCCCTTCACATTTACTGTCCCTTTTTTTTTTTTCCTCCTCCCTTTCCCTTTTACTTTACGATCTGAAGATACTGGATTTATGTCCCAGTTACTCCTCTACAGCAAAACCCAGGATAGACTCAGACTGCATGGCATAATCCCAGTAGCACAAGACTTTGTACAAGAGCCTGTCATACCTTATTTATCAGTTTCTGCCAGACATTCTCAATCACAGTACTGCCAGTCTTACTACCCTCAAATGAGCTTGTTGGTCTCCTGTTCACTTAACCCCCGTTGAATGTTACACTGAACTGCGTGAGGATCACAGAAAATATTTTTCCTGTAGCTATGTTGTGCTCTTACTCATCTCCCAGTATGGCACTTGGACCTAGCATAGTTCTGGTGTAACATCACTGAGGTTACAGAGAGAACAAATTTAGCTCAGGCTACTTTGAAAAGAAATCATATGGAGGAACCTGTGTCTTCTATCTGGACAAGTTTTTGTTACTACTTTTAATTAAGTCCTGACTATTCATTGAAGGAGGGGAAGCAAGCTATTCTGTAAGAAATACTGGTAATTTTGCAGTTTATATTGATGCTTTCATAACTGTTCAGTAGATGTTTCAGTGATACAAATTCCTCCTCTTCAGTTCCACGTTATCCTACACAGGTCAGCACATATTCAAATAGCATTAAGTTTAGGTTTTACTTAACCCCTTGAAGACCGCCGTGCCATCTCCTCTTTCTCAGCCTATGTGCTGTTGTCCTCTCTTTGAATGCGAAACTGAACAGAATAGTCAGTGGTTTCCATGTCCTCTAGATGTCAGCAAACTCAAGGCCTTAAAATAAAGTTAGCGTTTGGCACGCTGTCCATAAAAATAAATACCATTGACGTTCATGCGTTAGCTTCTTTCCTCCCAGCAGTTAGTCAGACCGAAAAGTGCTTCTCCCTGTAAGCACAGAGGGAAAGGAAGTTAACCTCATGTGGCAGTTAGTCATTCTGGCAGCAGTTACCTGCTTCTCCCAATCTTGTTTTATTTCACCTTTCACAAACTATTCCAACTGTAAAATGAAGACTGATTCCTCTTTCTACTTCGTGTTGTTTTTAGGGCAGTCACTGTTATGTATGGATATGTATTCAGCTGATATTATGATTAAATTAAGTCCAGAACAGGCTTCCTCCTCTCTCTCCACCCTACAGTCAAGGCATTATGTCTTATTTTAGGAGCTGACATCCGCACTGCCAGAATCAAAGATGCGGGGTTTATTTTGGCAGACACACTCCGGAAATTCCTGTTTGATCTGAATGTTGATGATGGCTTAGCTGCAATTGGTTATTCTAAAGCAGACATCCCTGCGTTAGTCAAAGGCACTCTGCCTCAGGTAAGACAGAAAGCAAAACAGTTTTTCTTGTCAAATAAAAAGAGCAGATTTCTGAAAAATCAGAAGTGTTTCTTTTCGAGCAAATTTTATTTCTGGTCCTACATGAAAACAATTAAAATGGAGAAGATTATGGATAGTCAACTGTGTTTTGTTTCTCTGCACAGTTTAGGTTTTTCTTTTCAGTGAGATGGAGCGCATGCTGCAGTCTGTTCTTCACATGGATTCAGAATGGCTAGGTGTATGGGTTTGGTTTTTTTTTAAACATCACATTTTTAAAAAAGAGGATGTTTTTCACAGGCCTTTGATCTTTGTAGAAGATACTGCTTTTTCATAACTGTCTCTGTTAATTATGTATGCAGGATGGGTTATAGATAAAGCCTTAATACCGAGTGCTATCTGGTAAGAATGATCGAGCTGCATTAAACTTTTCCATATTGAGAAGTTGCACTTGTCTTCCCAGATGGCTTTTTTGTTCCATTGACCCCTATCAGAATTTGAAATAAGGTCCCCTGGGATGATACAGATTAAACTTGTAATACCCTTTGTTGTTTCAGTGCTCACAAAGACACTGCAAAAAGCAACACACCACTCCAAAAGCAAAATCCAGTGTCTTCCTTGTAAAAAGACAGTTTGATTCATATGCTGTGGACTGTTCTGTCCACTTAAGATTTATTTCCACCAAGTAGTAGCAAGGGAAATAAACACTACAGAGAAAGTGAAAATTTTGTGGGCTGAAAGGTTACTCACTTTTTACAGCGGTACCTTTTACCATGTCTCGTTCTTCTCATTCATAAATCTGAGAGCAACTTGTAGCAGAGGGTAGATGTTAATATTCCTGTTTTATACCTGAGAAAATGACACAAAGGTGCAACTATTTTGGATCACACACAACAGAGCAGTGGCAAAGTCAGGAAGAAAACCCAGCTGAGCTCCCTTCAAATAGGTTATGCATGCAAATTGTCATGAGGCATTTTGGAGTTTTGTTTTGATAAATATGTTCCTTTAAAACAATTAGGTTTGGGTCATCACAAGCACAACATCTCACTGAAGGCATGTTTTGTGTAGCTGGGGGAGGGTTCTTCACCAAAAGATGTCAAAGGGGTTTTTTGTTTGTTAGCTTAGCTCAAATTGACTTTTAATTCATTTACTGTCGTCTCAGGGCATTGATGATTAATTGTATTGTGTAAAATGAGATGACCTAATAGTTTCTCAAACCTCATTTTTGTGTATGAGATGTAGCATGATGAAAATGTACTAGTGTTCCTTAATAGTCCATTATTACCCAGAGGGGTAGTCCGAACAGTTTAATCTTTGGTATATTTTTTTCTTTGCATTTTGCAGTGGGTTCTCTTTGGAATACAGCACTGACCCATTCACATCGGCAAGGCAGTGCAGTGCAGTAGTGATAGCACTGATAAGTGTGCAGGGTATATTCCACACTGTGAAGTGCAGGCTGCAGGAAAACAAAACCTAAGCTATTCTTAACTGCTGAGATTTGGCGTGGGAACTCTCCTGGGATCAACATTTATACTTGCAGTTAAAACAGAATTTTATTTTCCTGAGTCTACTGAAATTGATTCTCTTTACAGACAGCAGTGAGTCTAGCAAAGAAGATGCTGTCCCAAGGGCTAAGGTGGCTGGCCCTGTGATGGTGTTTGAGGGGAGATGGGGAGGACTGAAAATGAGAGATGGAAATGGAAGAGCTGTTCTCTAGCCCACCCACCCCCTGCAGACATCCCAGAGGCAGCCGCAGTGAGGCTGAACCACTGATGAGCCAGGAGCTCATTTTTGGCACCACACCAGCGTGCACTGAGTCAGACTGGGTGAGCTGGGGCCTTCCTGTCTGAGCACCAGCAAACACCAGCAGGCCCGTGCAGAAGGAGCGCTGGTGCCTCTATGTTGAGGCATACAGGAGGAGCATCTGTTTGCAGCCTTCTGTTGATACAGCTGGGAAATGCTACCGTCCGTCAGGGTGATCCTCTCCTCTCGCTCCATGTGACTTTACAGATAACGCTGCCCATCTTGGTGGACAGAGCTGCAAAACTGTAATTTGGCCCAGCGTGTCCTAATACAAGCCTGATGAATTTACTGAATACTTGAGCACTGAGTTGTTATATTTTGCATATTGTGAGTCTGAAAAAAACCCAGGATACTTTTGCCCTGGTGCCGTTTGAATTTTCTGTTTGGTTTCAAAACTGCATAGAAGAATCTTACCCTTTTCTTTGGCTGGATCTATCTGCGTAGCAGTGCTGGTCAGGGATGGGGAAAGAGGTGTCATTTGATTGCCACTGCTGCACCAGCAAAGCTTCTGGTGTAGCTAAGGTTATGCACGCGAAGCTACGCTTTTCAGACTCCTCGCAAGCCCGTGCTAACCATGCTGAGCATGATTATGAGCTGTGAATATCTCACAGCTGACTTCCTCGCCACGCTAGACCAATATTTCACATGCTAAGTTCACAGTGCGGTGGCCTCTCTTGCTGTGTAACCACATCCAGCCCGTCCACAAATCGCAGCCCCGTGGGTTGGGAGGGAAGCGGAGCGGCTGCAGCGTTGCACTGCGGCGTTGGGCTGCAGTGGCGGCGTGTGCTCTGCTCGGGAGGGCATCGAGCTGAGCCTCCCCCCAGGCAGGGGGCTGGAGGAGCCCCCTCCCCAGCATCCCACTCGGTGCAGGAGGCAAGGCCCCTAGCAAATGGCATCTGCTGTCCCGCGTGGGAAAAAGGGGGGAAAAAAATGAGAGATTTTACTGGGACAGCCTCTTTCACGAGAGAGATATTGAAACCGGTTGTAGCAGAAGAAAATCCGGCTTGCCAAAATGCACCGCAGTCATCTAAAGATAACGCATTCCTAGCGTAGGCCTTGGCCTCTGTCTTTGCAGATGTTTGTAGCTCTCCCCCATCTTTCAATAAAATGTTAAAATCACTGACTGCTGAAAGCACAAAAGTACTAATCACAACCAGTAGATTAATGTTAAGCCCTTTCAGCCAAGCGTTCCTGCCGTAACTGAGTACCTGCGCTAGTACAGCTCCTCGTCCTCACTAGCCTGGGGCTTTCCTGAGTCGCCATCCCTGCCCTTGTGGTTATTTTGTCAAGCAGAGCAGTGAAGCGTATACCTGAGTTTCACTTCAGTCAGTGGGACTTCAGCACCCGAAAATTCTGTTGAATCACCATCCAAATGAAGACCAACCGCAAGTATTTTGAATTCTGATTCCAAAGTATCAGGCTACTTATTAAGCAGTTTCACTACCGTCCCTTGCTGTGTCTCTTTTTTTGGAGCCTGAGTCGCAAGCACTGCTTACTCTCCCCATCTCTGGCAGTTCCTGGGCTTTGAGAGATGATGTCTTTTGAATACCTTGGTCCCTAAAAATTGACCTCCTGGTTCCAATGCTGGCAAATGAGTTTTAAAATGGACTGTGTTCCCAGGATACTACCCACTGCTGTGCTGACATCTGTGACTGACAAGACCCGTATTTGAAGTACTTTACTTTGCAACTAAACTGCATTTTAATCTTGCTTCTGTGTATTTAATTATAGGCAATTTAAACTATTATATTCTTGAAAATACTGTAGAGTTGATGATGCTTCAACCTTAATTACTTTATTACTTATTTGCAAAACCTTATTATTCTCTGCGAAGGACGTTAATACAAAGGCCCACAGTTCAGCTACTGTTTGATTAATTTTATTGGCGACCTTCTGCAATCCAGTTTTTCTTTTATCTTACAGGAGCGAGTGACTAAACTATCACCACGTCCCCAAACAGAAGAAGACTTATCTGCCCTCTTTGAGGCTTCCATGAAACTTTATTAGCTTGAACATTTTGTTCCGAAGTGTGCTCTATTCTAACACAAAGGTAATTTCTTATAGATATGGGGCTGAATTTGTTTAGAGAATGGAAGAACTCGTGTGTCTTTGACTTCTGTTCCATTGTACGCTGCCAAAAGGTCAAGTAATTCATCTTTAACTAAATAGTGCTCTGAAGTGAAGGCTTGACTGTGGCTTTTTTTCTTGCTCAGTAGCCAGCAGTATTAACTTGCATAAAAGTTGGAGCAGACTTCTCGCTTTACTGAAGGCTTTTTTGTGCTTTAGGGGTGGTCAAAGGTGGAAAAATGTTTTAAGGGATATTCAAAAATATTTTAGAAATTATTGTTTTTATTAAAATTGTCTGTGATTTTGTTTTAAAAGGTCATGCTATTTAAGAAATAATTGGGAGCATTTTTAAATAGGGGAGTTACCTTGCGGAAAATGTCAGCTTGCTATAGTCTGTTCCACTTCATCATCTTTCTACCCTCTGGCTTTGCTGAGAAGGCTGTTCAACTGGGGTACTTTCTGTTGTTTGGTTAAGGAAAAAAACAACACAATTCATACATGTTTGGAAAAGGCTTCCTGAAAGTTTGCTTTGTCTTAAAATCTTGACGTGTATTGTCAGGTGTTTATCTTTCCTTTTAAGATCTATATGAAGCGTTCATAGGAGGAGCAGAACCAGAGCAAAGCATGGCTACAGGCTCAACAGGGAACCAGGTTAACAGCAAGACATCACTCATCATGGTCAGTTTGTCTCTGTGAAGGCAACAGCTCCCTTTCCTGCTGCTGATGTTCTGTGGAAAGAAGCGATCAGCTCTGTATCTTGCTCTTCTGTGAAGCAATTGCTTCTGCTGAGCTCCTGCAGGTGCTGTCACTCAGAGCGCAGCCACCAGCTTAGGGAAGTGGCAGTGTGCTGTGGTTCAATATTAAAAAGTGGTGGTGTAGCATATGGCTGCACAGTGCCCCACTGGGAGCACTGGTTAAATGTGGGAATGAGTGTGCACGTTCAGAGCAGTTAACCAGCTGGTTGACTGTCAACTGAGAAAGGGAAGTGGGAAAGGGAGAAATGAAACTAAAATTTTAATACTATTTTTCTTTTTTTATAAAGTGCACATGGTTGTGTGTACAGTTCATTTAAATCAGAATCTGCTTCATGTGGGACCCTTTCAGTATCTGATTCATGCAGCTACCACAGCATAAGACAAACGTGACAAGAGCCCCATAACTTCTGACATGCTTATTTCTTTCTGCTAGGGAGGGAGCACTTTTCAGTCACCCAGTTGAAGTAGGAGGCTCTATACTTACACCTTTGCATTCTTGTGTTTGGCTGATAAAACTAGTGCTGTCCTGAAATCTTGAGGACGGATGTCTACTGGGTATTGACATTGGACCTGTTTTAATGCTAAGTTAAAATGGGTGGGTGGATACTGGTTGAAGACTGGAGATTTTCTTTTTAACCACAGAATGGGTTTAGTGGCTGTAGGGATGGTACTGCCAGTATGCCTCAGCCTGTGCTGGGACACACATTTGATTTCCATGTCCTTCTGAGTCTTGTCCTCTTCTGAAATCGCCCACAAGAACCTCCATCACGAAGGCTAATGTTGTAATAGCAAGGGGTGGGGGGTTCACTTTATCATATTGTGCAAAGCTGCCATGTTTGAAAAAAAACTTTTTGTCAACCCTTTTTGTATATCATCTTTTGGCCTATTTCATCTTTCCACTCCTGCCTTTCTCCAGGCTGTGGTAGCAGTACAGAGTCCTGAAGAGAGAATCTTCTTTCCAGGAACCTAATTCATGGCAGGCATGCTGTGTTTGGGGAGAATGTACTTTCTGGGGAACTAAACAGCACACGGGTTTCATCACTGCAGCAGAGCACTTTGATGGGCCAGTTAGGAATGTAGGGTATTTCCTTACAGCACACTTTTTATTTGCCATTTATGCCAGTATGGCAGTTACTAGCAGGCTGCATTTTCAACTGACAGAACCTTGCACTTAACTTCCTATACCAGGTAACCCGGAGCTCTTGCTAGTTTTTAAGTTAAGCTTCCCCCCTACCCCGATATAGTAGGTTTTATCCATATTTCATGGATGAGACAAAGGGTTTGATATAATGCTTAACCCAACATAAGCAGATGGTGCTGTAAGAAGGGCCATTTCTCTTTCCCACCCCACTTTGGCAGCATCGGGGTCTTTGACTGGCTTAAACTGGTTGTGAAATCCCACTTATTGGACATCAGCTACACAAACATTCTCCCACCACCAATCATTAGTTACTAGTGGAAATTTTCTGAGGAAAATTCAAGGGAGCTCAAGCCACCCCACAGTGCTGTCTTTCAAAGAGTGAATGGTGTGACAGGGAGTCATTCCCTGGCTCCCAGAGAGTGGTAGTTTTATTCACAACTGATGAGTTACCAGGGGTTTTCATGTATTATCTTAGTAAATTACACTCTGCTGAGAAAACCTATTTGGTTAAATATGTCTGTATCTTTGAACACGCCTGTTTTGTGCACATGAGCCTGGCATTTAAAACATTCTATGATTCTATGATTTATATGGGGAGCTGGGGTGAAACTGTAATTGTGAGCGCCCGGCGGTGGTTGGGCACGTGCGTGAAACCTAGGCAGCTTGTTCTTGTAGCTCCTGCCACTGCTCTGTTACTCGAACCCTCCGTCACGTATCTGTCACTGCCTTTCGATGATACTGGAATGCAAATAACCAATAATACTGTATGTGCTATAAACAAGCTTGTTTGAAAGTGTTTGAGAGATGAGTGTTTAACTCTGTCATGTTAACTTCAATCTTATAAATTAACTATGAGCCAAAACCACTGAGAGAAAGTAGCCTTTCACTAGCTTCCCAGAGCATGATGACTCTTTCTGCAACGTCGTTTGCCTGCTGAGCTTGGCGCTGTGCAGGCAAAATCACGGTATCGTGGATGACAACCGAGAGCAATGTTAGAGGCGTTCCAGAAATAAAAGCACCCGAACTGCTGCACGGTATTTCTGTGAACATTTCAGAGGCTTTCTGCACACATTCCTCTGCGTACATGTTTATAAGTATTATTACATATTGCATGACAACACTACCAGTCCTTGTACGTCAAACTTTTTAGTAGTAGGGCTTGATTGTGTCCCTCCCTCTTCCTTATGGAGTCTGAGACTTAACTTACTGTCTTAACTAGCTGTAACTATAGAAAAGGATTTGTTAGTCTGTATAAAAAAGAACAAATGCTCAGTTTATCTAGACCATGGTTTTTTTAATAGTTTTTAAGGAAGGAAAAATGGCAGCTATTGAGTCATGACAGAAGAATGGTTTGAGTGACCCTCGAACTCCTAGTAGAGTAGATTCTTGCTGTGCATGTTGATCTGCTCTTTCTCTCCCCTGGTCCTGTATTCTCCAAGTTCTGTGCAGGCAAACACAAACCAAACCCTGGCCCATCTGGTTACTCGCTCAGTCCCCCTACAGTGGTAAGGTTAGCTTTGGGGAGCAAGTATGAGCAAGTGCACGTCTGGTGCTGGTGAAAATGGTTTAACAGCGGGTATAGTTTTACCTGGACTACAAAATGGAAAACCCACTCCCCTTTCAAGGTACTTGGAGCTCCCAGGCTTGCTCCTTGGCATCAATAGAAGTGGGGGCAAATGGTCCAAGAGTTTGTCTGGCCCCTTTTTTCCCTTGCCTCTTCCCATTCCATTGCTGATTTTCCCAGCAGTTAAACCAAAAAGAGAATGAAGCAAAAAATACGTAACCAACACGCCTAAATCTGCAAAAACCCTCACCATCATCCTGTGTGAATAAACTCGGAAGAAATCACAGGTAGGTTGGTGTGCGTGCTCATTCATCCTTGTACCATCTTCACTTTAAGGCAATGTGCCAAGGCTGACATCTTCTGTCTTGTGGTTGGCTTTCCATGCCCCCGAGACCTGAAAAGTGGATGAGAAAGAGTGATGGTTAAGGGACACACAGCAAAGCTATGTCTAGGCACTTTCCATAACCCCCAAGTAAATTTGCTTAAGCATCATGGTGCTCTGGGATGTGTGCTGTATGCCTTGGGTTCAACAGCTCCAACCTAATAAATCCATCACTGCATCAAGCGCGTCTGTGGAGAAGGAACAAGGGCAACCTGATGGAATGCAGCAGGAGGCTTAAAGGTATGGTCTCCACTTTTCCTCAGACCATCCCTGCATGCTTCCTAAATAAAAGGGAACTTCGTTTGAATTCAAACACCAGCTACTGAATACAGAAAGTGATGTGAGCATGTTCCTAATCTCTCCATGAGATCTCCATGAGCTGCCGCAGTGTCAACCCTGGACAGCGAGAAAAGCATCTTCCATACCTTGCTCGCCCCTACTAATCATGCCTGGAAACCTGGTTCCATCTTTGACTCGTCACCAGGCCTCCTGCAGAAGAAGAGGTTCCTCTTTGAGCAGTGCTGTGGTGGGACCCTCAGTGACTGACTTTGCAGAGGTCTGGGCACATGCATTTTTTTTCCCACAGGCTTTGTACTTAACCTGCAGTGTACATATGAGAAATCACCCAGGCTCAATTTCTTACAAAACAGTTAGTGCATATTTTTTATGTGTAGTTGTCCATGAGAATAAGCAGAAGCTTCTGGTGTCGCTCTGAATTTCTCAGTGAAACCAAGATGAAAAAAACCCCAAAACCACCTGGGCTATCATTAGGAAGGCTGCTGTTCCCTTAGATGCAACATTTCTGAATGCAGTTTTATATTTTGCCAGTTCTAATAAGTAAGTAACCCACTAAAATGCCATTAGTTTTCTTTTTTCCCCATTGTACTGAAACAGCTGCCACGGTGAGTGGGTAGAAAACGTAGTACAGCCAAATAATAACAGTAAGAGGAAGAACCATTTGACACAGCTCAATGGAATGTTAATCAGGGTTGTAAGTTAACTACTTTCCTAGTAATAGGAGAGGGGATGAAAAAAAAATACTTCCAGTCTGGTTTCTTTTGAAAAATTACATGTACTGGGTTTTCAGAGAACTTTAAATACAACAAATGGCAGCAGATATTTTCTTTATTTTTCTGAACGTGGGAATTAAAGAGGGAAGAGTTAATGCACGTGCATGAGGTGGCACATTTAAGTGAAAGCAGAGGAATGTGACCCTTTGGTATCCTTTGGAGAGCCGTGCTAATTCACGTCACACTGTAGAGCCACACAGCTTGGTTCTGCGGCCACGTACGCTGGCAGCACGTACGCCGCCAAAGTCAACCGAGTGGCAGCAGAGTGATGGCTATGCCCACACTGTAGTCTGAGCTCTGGTAAATGCTTAATTTAATCTGATACTACTGCATCATGAAATATATATATCATAGCAGGAACGCTGGTTTATTGATGTGGAACTTCTCCCCCGTGTTCCCTGACTTGCGGTGACTTTGACCTATTTCAACAATGCACTCGTGCTTTTCCTGGGGTATGCTATTTGGATGTTTGACCATACAGCCTTAAATTACCAACTTGACATTGAAATGCTGATTTACACCTGCAGTCAAGTGGATAACACATGTTAAAGACTGATTGTCAGCAGGTCCCATACGTTATGGCTTCATTCTGTGGCATTGTCACTTGCCTTTATGGGATTTAAGGACACCATTGTGTGGCATTGTTGGTATGGCTATGGCCGCAGCTGTGGGGGGCTGACACTGTGTGTGGACTTTGTCATCTATCTAAAAGCTGACTTCACTTTCGAAAAATCGCTGTGAAAGTTGGGGTGTTTTAAGCGTTGCTGTATATTTAAGACAGCATTGGAAATAAAGACGCTTTTTTGCTGGCATAAAAATCAGTTAACGTTGAATAACTTGCTCTTCTGACCTTTTCACCTTAAGGAAGATTAATGGTCGTTTGGATCAGAACTTCCCCCCTCATCAGGGGTCTGAAAACTTTGGGGATTCAAGCAGACAAAGGAAGTCTTTTCACCTCTAGGTCACCAGCAACAGACCTGTGGCGTCTCTCTAGTCACCATTAGATGGCTGCTCACTAGTTTATGTGCGAGACTTGGTGGTCGTAATCCATTTTCCAATGGATGGGTCCCTGCCTCGTGAAAGCTGTCACCACATGCTTATCTGAGCAGTGAGAAATGGGAATTAACATGAACAGAGCCTGAATTGCCTTTGCCTTGCACTACTAAGCCCTCAGAGCCTCTGTAGCCCTTGTTTTGGTGCATTGGTCCTTCTCCGGGGTCGTCTTTCCAAGACGGGAAGGGTTGCAGCTGTGTGCTGCGAGCAGTGGCACTTCGGTGGTCCCTGCAGCCTCTGCTCCCACTTCTGGAGCATGCGGGTCCCATTCGGACACTCTCACAGTGGTGCCACGCATGTTTCTGGCAGTCAGGACGTTCCTAGAAGGGCATGTCCCACAGCCTTTGTGTAGCCGTCTCCCACATTTAGTTCCTGGTGCGGTCAAGCTGATGTACTTCATAACTACTGTAGTTGTGTTTTCAATGGAAGTCCTGAAATTAGGACTGCTTGGTAAAAGTGAGCACAGAGCTAGAGGGCAGATTTTTGATAGTAAAGTAACCATTTGTGACTTCACATGTCAGAAATTATAACGTCGCCAACTGTAAAGCGCAGTTCAGGGACCTACCCAACCAACGCAGCCGAGCTAAAAATGCCAACCGGCTGAACAAAGGCAGCGCAGGGTTGGCTGATGGGTGCTAAAGGTCTAAGCATGTCCCTCCCTGGAGACATCTGCATGTACATAGCAAACAAGGCATTGGTAAAAAAACCTGACGTGTGTGTAGAGGTATGCGTACAGTTGCTTACAGCTGAGACATTGAGCCTGAGTATATGAGATGGCTACAGGCTAGGGAGTATACAAAGTTGAAGAGCTAGGATCTAGGAGTCTACCTCTTCTTGTCTGACCAAGTTGAGAGGATACAGAAACATCAGCCTTCAGAGGAACTTCTAAGATGAGTTTTAGAAAACATTGCAAAGGCCCGAAGGGCGTAGAATCTAAAACTATGTCGTTATTGAGGAGAAAGTGCGATGTCTATTGCAAAGCCCCCAAAAACGCTTTCCTGTTCCCTTTTGTCCTTTTCCTCCCAGCTTACCTCTGTACAGTATGTGCCATGTAGTGGGCAGAGCAACTGAAGAAATTACAGCCAGAACTGAATTAATATAGGTAAGTGTTTAAGTGTAAAGGCGAATGGGACAGAGGAAAAGGACAAGTAAAGATCATGACTTCTATGAAAATCAAAGATCTTACGGGCTGCGTGACTTGAAAAGGACTGACCTCTGTGTAGCTTATGAGCTTGAAAATCCTCTCCTATGTATTTGGAGCATTAATTCCTCTCGTTATCTGAGGCGATCTACTTTAATCAGATTCCTAGAAACAAGTCAGGTACTTAAAGGAGAAGATCTTTGACACCCCTGCTGGCAACGTCAATAAAGAGGCCAAAGACCAAACCAGCAGGGAGAAAAGATAACCCACTTCATCTCTCCAAAACCCTTTTTAGGATAATTGGCATGTGAGGGAGTCCCCCAGTTTCTCCTTCCAGACTCATAGCCA